GTCCGAACCGGGGATCGAACCCAGGACCTTCTTGCTGTGAGGCGTCGGTGCTAACCACTGAGCCGTCGTGCCGCCAAAGGTAGAGGTTTAGAGGATGGAAATCGGTGCCATTTTCTCTGTCAGTAAAAAAAAACATGCTTGATGCACTAAAAACAACCATTAAAAAATTGATTTAGTCAGTAATTACTCTAATTGTCTTTGAATATTTGAAGAAGAAACAAGTCCATTTGATCCCGTTTGGAAAATGTAAATTTGGAAAATTTAATGCATTAACGCGTTATTATCTCGTTAACACAGCCGACACCTAACGGTGATACATTTTTTTCAGAAACATGGCGGAAGTCACCAGATTCTTCAGGGCATTTTTTATTTTAAAACTTTTCTTGAGGGTGTGCTGGAACACAACACACAAAGGATCTGATTTTCTTTCTTCAGTTTGTGCTTTTTGTTTAGGGCCTCAGCTCAGGACAAGGTAAGAGTGATGATAGATAAGACCTTTACCAACACAAGCCAGAGTGAAGTATTCATGTTGAGACTTCAGTGTTTACTACGCCTCATAGAGTGAACTGAGGTCTTGATGTTTCAAGCTTGCATGTTCTTTTCATGTTTGTGTGGGTTTTCTCTGGATGGATGTTAGACTGCCTTCAGGCTCAGACCTCCACAGAAAAAGACATCTGTGATCTCATTGGGATTTCTCTGGTTAAATAAAGGTTAACAAATAAATTTATRATTTCAGATACAAGCTCTCCACCTGGTAAATCATGAATGCACGAGGGGCAGGGGTCCTTGTTATTGCAGACACAAAAAAAGTCCCATTTTTAGTCTTACTGTGAGGCCATAATAATCCTAAAACACTGCCAGATCCTGAGTCGTGGAGGGAATGACAGAGACACGTTTCCTCCCAGGGATACAGTATTATTTCCAGATGTTGTTGCAGACGCATGTTCAGATTTGAAGACAACAAAGGTATTTTGTTCTTAACTATCACAGTTTGCTTATTTGCCTCTCAGACTGAGGACTGAATTGTTAAAGTTCAACACACTGGGTCAAAAATCACAAACTGACCACTGACTGTCAACCAGTCACTATTTTTACCCTGACCAAGGAGGAGGTTGCTGTAAGTAGCTCTATGTTGGTTTTAGGCAGCAATAAGTWACATTTTTTTAGTGCTGAGCATAGATTAAGAATTTTAATCGTCATTAATCTCAGGGTACACTGCAAAAACTGTCCATCTGACCAAGTTTTAAAACCTTATATCAGCCAAAAAGTCTTTTTGATCTTGTTTTGAGACTGATTTACTAAACAAGAACTGATTGTGTAAGAATAATCATCTTGTTTTCAGAATGTGTAAGATTATTTGTCTTGTTACTGTAGTCTGAAAATTTGACTCAATTTAAGTCAAACATTTCTGCCAGTGGACTCCGCCAAGGCTGCCCTTTGTCACCGATTCTGTTCATTACTTTCATGGACAGAATTTCTAGGCACAGCCGAGG